CTTACACTCCGCTCCCCGTGAAAGCAGCGGTGACAGCTAGATGTTAGCACAGCTGTAAGGTTTACAAAGACAAATGTCGCACATGTTTCTGAGTTTTTATGTTCTGTTAACCCACACAAATCACTCTGGCCTTAATCTTTTGGTTCCATGGGAATGCCTTGCTTAGAGGCAGGAAAGCAACCCAACATACAGAAACGTCAGGCTTCCTCATTGTCAAAGTAGTTCCTCAGAGCCTCCGTGACATTGATGGCCACTCTACACACTCCTTTAAGCAGCCAGACACTCATGCTGTCCAAGTGTGCGCCGAAACGCTGCACCTAAGTGCTCCATCCATGGGCAAAAATGTCACCCTTACTCTCTCAGAAATTATGCAAGCAACAGCACACAGCCACCACCTTGGGGAAACCATCCTCCATAGGGACACCTCCATGCCCCTTTCAATCTGCCAGCTCCTCACTGGTGTTCAGGTGCCCCATGTAAGCCTTCATGAGGTGTAAGAGGTACGCTGCATCACCTAGGGTGACTATGGGCATTTCCACATCCCCTACTGTAATTTTCTGGTCTGGAAGGAAAGTGCCAGCATCCAACTCTGCAGGACACCGTTTCTGAACATGCGTGCATCATGCACCTTTCCAGGCCCCCCCCCCCACATGTCTGTGAAACACCCACAAGCACCTAAACACCATGGAGAAGTAACTCTGCTGAGCAAGGTGGGGGGGGACACTATAATGGGGATGTGTCCCCCAACTACTGCCCCACCACAGTTAGGAAAGCCCTTTTCAGCAAACCCAGCCTGTCACTATGTCATCCACATGTCTCAGTCACAGTCCTGCCCATCAAAAGGCAACGTATTGCTCCACACACTTGCAGAAGCGCTGTCCACTCCAAACTGATTGCCAGCTGAACAGTAGCAATCTGCGTGGCCAGCTTCCCCAAAGCAAGGGCCACACGCTTCTCTACTGAGAGAGCACTTCTCATTTGGGTGCCCTTTGGATGCAGATCAGGGGCCAGCGCATTACAAAGTTCCTGGAAGGCTGCTTTACGCATCTGAAAGTTCTGTAGCCACTGCTCTTGAGCCTACACCTGTAAGACACTGCGATCCCACCGCTCAGTGCTGGTCTCCCTAGCCCCAAAGCAATAATTCACTGTGCATCTCTGGCCTGCTATAGCCCAAAGATATAACAATTCATCATCGTCTGAATCAATCTTAATCAGAACCAGAATCTAACGAGTCATTGTCATCCGCTAGTAGAGCCATAAGTAGGTATGCTGCAATGCATGTCTTCTGCACACCGCTCACGATAAGGGCCAGAAGTCTGGGATCCAGGCTCTCAACACAGATGTTCGAGTTGGTGAGAAAGTAAGCGGGAGACCTAGGGACGCCGGAGAACAAAGAAGATGGCTGACAAGACATTTTTCACTGTCCCAACATGCCTAGCACTATCTTGTGCTTGCCCACAGAACTTATCAAGTAAAGGTGGGCACAGCACTGTGGGAAGCATACCCACAAGGCTTTACTTTTTCTGTCGAAGAGGAAGCTTCAGATGTGGTCATGGAGTTGTCAACAGCGGGTACCAGAAAAACCAGGTTGGCGAGTTTTCCATCTTGGCAATTTTTGCCTGTCAAAAGCACTTTCATCACCAAAACTTGCAAGTGTAGAAGTAGCCTAATGCATATAGGTCATGAGCTTTTGCGGGCAAAACCTACTTCATCAGATGATGGCGTGGAAATTACAAAATCCAAAGTACATTTAACAGCAAAAGCAGTTACCTGTCAATTGCAGGACCATTGTTAATAACGCTAATTGCGTCCAGCCGCATGTCCCCCATTCATAGCTTTTGATTTGTAAATGCAAATTCCAAAGGCAGGAGAAATTGCTTTTCCAGCGCACTAGCCAGGTAATATAAATTTAATACTATCAGCTTGGCTGAATAAAGATAAGTGAATTCCAGTTCTTTTCACATTGCAGTGCTGAACTCTTTCAGAATGTTTCTCTCTCTGATACTGTAGTTTTTTACTGGGACTCGCAGGTACTTGCACACTCCATGCTGATGCT